TCTAGTAATATTTGCAGGCATTGAACGTTTTGAAAATGGAAGGCAAGGTTGTAGCCTGGTTGTGTGTGTGTTGCTGAGGTAAGTTGGCAAGGAGGGGGGGGGGGGTTGTAGCCTGGTTGTGTGTGTGTTGCTGAGGTAAGTTGACAAGGGGGGGGTAGCCTGGTTGTGTGTGTGTTGCTGAGGTAAGTTGACAAGGGGGGGGGGTAGCCTGGTTGTGTGTGTGTTGCTGAGGTAAGTTGACAAGGGGGGGGGGTAGCCTGGTTGTGTGTGTGTTGCTGAGGTAAGTTGACAAGGGGGGGGGGTAGCCTGGTTGTGTGTGTGTTGCTGAGGTAAGTTGACAAGGGGGGGGGGGTAGCCTGGTTGTGTGTGTGTTGCTGAGGTAAGTTGACAAGGGGGGGGGGTAGCCTGGTTGTGTGTGTGTTGCTGAGGTAAGTTGACAAGGGGGGGGGGGTAGCCTGGTTGTGTGTGTGTTGCTGAGGTAAGTTGACAAGGGGGGGGGGGTAGCCTGGTTGTGTGTGTGTTGCTGAGGTAAGTTGACAAGGGGGGGGGGGGGGTAGCCTGGTTGTGTGTGTGTTGCTGAGGTAAGTTGACAAGGGGGGGGTAGCCTGGTTGTGTGTGTGTTGCTGAGGTAAGTTGACAAGGGGGGGGAGGGTAGCCTGGTTGTGTGTGTGTTGCTGAGGTAAGTTGACAAGGGGGGGGGGGGTAGCCTGGTTGTGTGTGTGTTGCTGAGGTAAGTTGACAAGGGGGGGGGGGTAGCCTGGTTGTGTGTGTGTTGCTGAGGTAAGTTGACAAGGGGGGGGGGTAGCCTGGTTGTGTGTGTGTTGCTGAGGTAAGTTGACAAGGGGGGGGGGGGGTAGCCTGGTTGTGTGTGTGTTGCTGAGGTAAGTTGACAAGGGGGGGGGGGTAGCCTGGTTGTGTGTGTGTTGCTGAGGTAAGTTGACAAGGGGGGGGGGGGTAGCCTGGTTGTGTGTGTGTTGCTGAGGTAAGTTGACAAGGGGGGGGGGGGGGTAGCCTGGTTGTGTGTGTGTTGCTGAGGTAAGTTGACAAGGGGGGGGGGGGGGGGGGGGGTAGCCTGGGTTGTGTGTGTGTTGCTGAGGTAAGTTGACAAGGGGGGGGGGGTAGCCTGGTTGTGTGTGTGTTGCTGAGGTAAGTTGACAAGGGGGGGGGGGGTAGCCTGGTTGTGTGTGTGTTGCTGAGGTAAGTTGACAAGGGGGGGGGTAGCCTGGTTGTGTGTGTTGCTGAGGTAAGTTGACAAGGGGGGGGGGTAGCCTGGTTGTGTGTGTGTTGCTGAGGTAAGTTGACAAGGGGGGGGGGGTAGCCTGGTTGTGTGTGTGTTGCTGAGGTAAGTTGACAAGGGGGGGGGGGGTAGCCTGGTTGTGTGTGTGTTGCTGAGGTAAGTTGACAAGGGGGGGGGGGGTAGCCTGGTTGTGTGTGTGTTGCTGAGGTAAGTTGACAAGGGGGGGGGGGTAGGGGTTGTGTGTGTGTTGCTGAGGTAAGTTGACAAGGGGGGGGGGTAGCCTGGTTGTGTGTGTGTTGCTGAGGTAAGTTGACAAGGGGGGGGGTAGCCTGGTTGTGTGTGTGTTGCTGAGGTAAGTTGACAAGGGGGGGGGGTAGCCTGGTTGTGTGTGTGTTGCTGAGGTAAGTTGACAAGGGGGGGGGGGGTAGCCTGGTTGTGTGTGTGTTGCTGAGGTAAGTTGACAAGGGGGGGGGGGGGGGTAGCCTGGTTGTGTGTGTGTTGCTGAGGTAAGTTGACAAGGGGGGGGGGGGGGGTAGCCTGGTTGTGTGTGTGTTGCTGAGGTAAGTTGACAAGGGGGGGGGTAGCCTGGTTGTGTGTGTGTTGCTGAGGTAAGTTGACAAGGGGGGGGGGGGTAGCCTGGTTGTGTGTGTGTTGCTGAGGTAAGTTGACAAGGGGGGGGGGTAGCCTGGTTGTGTGTGTGTTGCTGAGGTAAGTTGACAAGGGGGGGGGGGGGGGGTAGTTGCTGAGGTAAGTTGACAAGGGGGGGGGGTAGCCTGGTGTGTGTGTGTTGCTGAGGTAAGTTGACAAGGGGGGGGGGTAGCCTGGTTGTGTGTGTGTTGCTGAGGTAAGTTGACAAGGGGGGGGGGGTAGCCTGGTTGTGTGTGTGTTGCTGAGGTAAGTTGACAAGGTAAGTTGGGGGGGGGGTAGCCTGGTTGTGTGTGTGTTGCTGAGGTAAGTTGACAAGGGGGGGGGGTAGCCTGGTTGTGTGTGTGTTGCTGAGGTAAGTTGGCAGGGGGGGGGGGGTAGCCTGGTTGTGTGTGTGTTGCTGAGGTAAGTTGGCAAGGGGGGGGGGGTAGCCTGGTTGTGTGTGTGTTGCTGAGGTAAGTTGACAAGGGGGGGGGGGTAGCCTGGTTGTGTGTGTGTTGCTGAGGTAAGTTGACAAGGGGGGGGGGGGTAGCCTGGTTGTGTGTGTGTTGCTGAGGTAAGTTGACAAGGGGGGGGGGTAGCCTGGTTGTGTGTGTGTTGCTGAGGTAAGTTGACAAGGGGGGGGGGTAGCCTGGTTGTGTGTGTGTTGCTGAGGTAAGTTGACAAGGGGGGGGGGTAGCCTGGTTGTGTGTGTGTTGCTGAGGTAAGTTGTAGCCTGGTTGTGTGTGTGTTGCAAGTTGACAGGGGGGGGGGGGTAGCCTGGTTGTGTGTGTGTTGCTGAGGTAAGTTGACAAGGGGGGGGGTAGCCTGGTTGTGTGTGTGTTGCTGAGGTAAGTTGACAAGGGGGGGGGGTAGCCTGGTTGTGTGTGTGTTGCTGAGGTAAGTTGACAAGGGGGGGGGGTAGCCTGGTTGTGTGTGTGTTGCTGAGGTAAGTTGAACAAGGGGGGGGGGGTAGCCTGGTTGTGTGTGTGTTGCTGAGGACAAGTTGACAAGGGGGGGGGGGTAGCCTGGTTGTTTGTGTGTGTGTTGCTGAGGTAAGTTGACAAGGGGGGGGGGGTAGCCTGGTTTGTGTGTGTGTTGCTGAGGTAAGTTGACAAGGGGGGGGGGGTAGCCTGGTTGTGTGTGTGTTGCTGAGGTAAGTTGACAAGGGGGGGGGGTAGCCTGGTTGTGTGTGTGTTGCTGAGGTAAGTTGACAAGGGGGGGGGGGGTAGCCTGGTTGTGTGTGTGTTGCTGAGGTAAGTTGACAAGGGGGGGGGGTAGCCTGGTTGTGTGTGTGTTGCTGAGGTAAGTTGACAAGGGGGGGGGGTAGCCTGGTTGTGTGTGTGTTGCTGAGGTAAGTTGACAAGGGGGGGGTAGCCTGGTTGTGTGTGTGTTGCTGAGGTAAGTTGACAAGGGGGGGGGGTAGCCTGGTTGTGTGTGTGTTGCTGAGGTAAGTTGACAAGGGGGGGGGGGTAGCCTGGTTGTGTGTGTGTTGCTGAGGTAAGTTGGCAAGGGGGGGGGGGTAGCCTGGTTTGTGTGTGTGTGTTGCTGAGGTAAGTTGACAAGGGGGGGGGTAGCCTGGTTGTGTGTGTGTTGCTGAGGTAAGTTGACAAGGGGGGGGGGGGGTAGCCTGGTTGTGTGTGTGTTGCTGAGGTAAGTTGACAAGGGGGGGGGGGGATAGCCTGGTTTGTGTGTGTGTGCTGAGGTAAGTTGACAAGGGGGGGGGGGTTGTTGTGTCGTCAACAGTGTTGTTGTTGTTGTTGTGTCTGTGAGAGAGAGAGAGTGAGAGAAGAATAGAAAGGAGAGGGAGAGAGAAGGAGAGAAGAGAGAAAGAGAGGAGAGACAAAGAGACAGAGAGGAGAGAGTGAAGGAGAAACCTGGGGAGAGAGAAGGAGAGAGAGAGAGAGAGAGAGAGAGAGAGAGAGAGAGAGAGAGAGAGAGAGAGAGAGAGAGAGAGAGAGAGAGAGAGAGAGAGAGAGATGAGAGAGAGAGAAGGAGAGAGAGAGAGAGAGAGAGAGAGAGAGAGACCACATTAACAGCCAATCAACAAGGACACCCTGGCTGAACCCCCCCCCCCCCCCGCGCCTGGCTGAACAGCCTCGTTACTGAGACGGTCACACCATTAACCTAACCACCAGGAAGACATCTGAGCCTGGTAGGTAACTAAGGTTGTTCCTCTTCATAAAAGGTTCATGTTCTGCCACAGGCGAATATGAGCCCTATGATCAGGTGATTGAGAGGTGATTAGTTTGCTGTGCTTAGTTTGTTCAGTCCTTTGTGTGTACTCACCTAGTTGTATTCCGCGGAGGGTTAGCCCAAGCTCCTGGGTCCCTCCTTTCCACTGCTGGATAGGGGCCTGACGGCTGAGTGGACAGCGCTCGGGATTCGTAGTCCTTAAGGGCTCTGGGTTCGATCCCCCAGGTGAAGGCAGAAACAAAATGGGCAGAGTTGCTTTGACTCTGGTGCGTCTGTTCAGCAGTAAATAGGTACCTGGGAGTTAGACAGCTGCTACGGGCTGGTTCATACGGGTGGGTAACAAAAAGGAGGCCTGGTCGAAGACCGGGCCGCGGGGACGCTAAGCCCCGAAATCATCTCAAGATAACCTCAAGATGTTATAATGTTCCTTCTGTCTCTCTGGGTCTTCCACTGTTCCACTGTTGCATTGTTCCACTGTTCCACTGGTCTCCTATAATCTTTTTTTCCATCACCTTGCATGGTATGCAAGAAAACCTTGGGCTTGGTCCTTGGGCTTGGTCCTTGGCCTTGGTCCTTGGGCTTGGTCCTTGGGCTTGGGCTCTTGGTCCTTGGGCTTGGTCCTTGGTCTTGGTCCTTGGGCTTGGTCCTTGGGCTTGGGCTCTTGGTCCTTGGGCTTGGTCCTAGGGCTTGGTCCTTGGGCTTGGTCCTTGGGCTTGGGCTCTTGGTCCTTGGGCTTGGTCCTAGGGCTTGGTCCTTGGGCTTGGTCCTTGGGCTTGGTCCTTGGGCTTGGTCCTTGGCCTTGGTCCTTGGGCTTGGTCCTTGGGCTTGGTCCTTGGGCTTGGTCCTTGGTCTTGGTCCTTGGGCTTGGTCCTTGGTCTTGGTCCTTGGGCTTGGTCCTTGGGCTTGGTCCTTGGGCTTGGGCTCTTGGTCCTTGGGCTTGGTCCTAGGGCTTGGTCCTTGGGCTTGGTCCTTGGGCTTGGTCCTTGGGCTTGGTCCTTGGCCTTGGTCCTTGGGCTTGGTCCTTGGGCTTGGTCCTTGGCCTTGGTCCTTGGGCTTGGGCTCTTGGGCTTGGTCCTTGGGCTTGGTCCTTGGCCTTGGTCCTTGGGCTTGGGCTCTTGGGCTTAGTCCTTGGGCTTGGTCCTTGGGTTTGGGCTCTTGGGCTTGGTCCTTGGGCTCGGTCCTTGGGCTTGGTCCTTGGGCTTGGTCCTTGGGCTTGGTCCTTGGCCTTGGTCCTTGGGCTTGGTCCTTGGGCTTGGGCTCTTGGGCTTGGTCCTTGGCCTTGGTCCTTGGGCTTGGTCCTTGGGCTTGGGCTCTTGGGCTTGGTCCTTGGGCTTGGACTTTGGGCTTGGTCCTTGGGCTTGGTCCTTGGGCTTGGTCCTTGGACTTGGTCCTTGGGCTTGGACCTTGGGCTTGGGCTCTTGGGCTTGGTCCTTGGGCTTGGTCCTTGGGCTTGGTCCTTGGGCTTGGTCCTTGGGCTTGGACCTTGGGCTTGGGCTCTTGGTCCTTGGGCTTGGTCCTTGGGCTTGGTCCTTGGGCTTGGACCTTGGGCTTGGGCTTGGTCCTTGGGCTTGGGCTCTTGGGCTTGGTCCTTGGGCTTGGGCTCTTGGGCTTGGTCCTTGGGCTTGGTCCTTGGGCTTGGTCCTTGGGCTTGGTCCTTGGCCTTGGTCCTTGGGCTTGGTCCTTGGGCTTGGTCCTTGGCCTTGGTCCTTGGGCTTGGGCTCTTGGGCTTGGTCCTTGGCCTTGGTCCTTGGGCTTGGGCTCTTGGGCTTAGTCCTTGGGCTTGGTCCTTGGGTTTGGGCTCTTGGGCTTGGTCCTTGGGCTCGGTCCTTGGGCTTGGTCCTTGGGCTTGGTCCTTGGGCTTCGGCTCTTGGACTTGGTCCTTGGGCTTGGTCCTTGGGCTCGGTCCTTGGCCTTGGTCCTTGGGCTTGGTCCTTGGGCTTCGGCTCTTGGACTTGGTCCTTGGGCTTGGTCCTTGGGCTTGGGCTCTTGGGCTTGGTCCTTGGCTTGGTCCTTGGGCTTGGTCCTTGGGCTTGGGCTCTTGGGCTTGGTCCTTGGGCTTGGTCCTTGGGCTTGGGCTCTTGGGCTTGGTCCTTGGGCTTGGTCCTTGGGCTTGGGCTCTTGGGCTTGGTCCTTGGGCTTGGTCCTTGGGCTTGGTCCTTGGGCTTGGTCCTTGGGCTTGGGCTCTTGGGCTTGGTCCTTGGGCTTGGTCCTTGGGCTTGGTCCTTGGGCTTGGGCTCTTGGGCTTGGTCCTTGGGCTTGGTCCTTGGGCTTGGTCCTTGGGCTTGGGCTCTTGGGCTTGGTCCTTGGGCTTGGGCTCTTGGGCTTGGTCCTTGGGCTTGGTCCTTGGGCTTGGGCTCTTGGGCTTGGTCCTTGGGCTTGGTCCTTGGGCTTGGTCCTTGGGCTTGGTCCTTGGGCTTGGGCTCTTGGGCTTGGTCCTTGGGCTTGGTCCTTGGGCTTGGGCTCTTGGAGGCATGTTGCATTGATGCTGATCAATGCAACATGGTCAATGTTGCTCCTCTTTGCTCTGTTGATACCTTCCCTTCTGTTGCTGTTGTTACTACAGTCTCTGTTGCTGAGATTGCTGCTGTTGTTGCTACAACAGTCTCTGTTGCTGAGGTTGCTACTGTTGTTGCTACAACAGTCTCTGTTGCTGAGATTGCTGCTGTTGTTGCTACAACAGTCTCTGTTGCTGAGGTTGCTACTGTTGTTGCTACAACAGTCTCTGTTGCTGAGATTGCTGCTGTTGTTGCTACAACAGTCTCTGTTGCTGAGATTGCTACTGTTGTTGCTACAACAGTCTCTGTTGCTGAGATTGCTGCTGTTGTTGCTACAACAGTCTCTGTTGCTGAGGTTGCTACTGTTGTTGCTACAACAGTCTCTGTTGCTGAGATTGCTGCTGTTGTTGCTACAACAGTCTCTGTTGCTGAGGTTGCTACTGTTGTTGCTACAACAGTCTCTGTTGCTGAGATTGCTGCTGTTGTTGCTACAACAGTCTCTGTTGCTGAGATTGCTGCTGTTGCTGCTACAACAGTCTCTGTTGCTGAGATTGCTGCTGTTGTTGCTACAACAGTCTCTGTTGCTGAGATTGCTGCTGTTGTTGCTACAACAGTCTCTGTTGCTACAACAGTCTCTGTTGCTGAGGTTGCTACTGTTGTTGCTACAACAGTCTCTGTTGCTGAGGTTGCTACTGTTGCAGTCCTTCTTGAAACTTTGTATATCAGGCACATGTGTGCTTCGAAACATTATTCTGAAATAAAACACACATTTCTAATAAGTTTAGACGCAAAAAAAAAAAATCTAATTCTAAAATATTTTTATTACAAAAGAGCGAATACTTGTATATAATTGTCACCCAAATTTTTGTTTCGAAAGTTTCACTTTTTTGTTTTGACAATGATCAAAACGTCAATGATACGGTGTTTAAAATTGACAACATGAACGACAACATTTGACAACTACAACAACATTTGACAACTACAACAACATTGACTACAACTACAGCAAATACATTGCAATCATTCCGAATTATACAAGTATTTTTTCGCGGTTGAATTAATTCATATAATTTACGTTACATTTCATGAATTTTAAGGAGTTCTATACCAGTATTCATTGGGTCTCTACCTGGGGCCTCTACCTGGGGTCTCTACCTGGGGCCTCTACCTGGGGTCTCTACCTGGGGCCTCTACCTGGGGCCTCTACCTGGGGGTTTCTACCTGGGGGTCTCTACCTGGGGGTCTCTACCAGGGGGTCTCTACCTGGGGGTCTCTACCTGGGTCTCTACCTGGGGGTCTCTACCTGGGGCCTCTACCTGGGGGTCTCTACCTGGGGGTCTCTACCTGGGGGTCTCTACCTGGGGGCCTCTACCTGGGGCCTCTACCTGGGGTCTCTACCTGGGGCCTCTACCTGGGGCCTCTACCTGGGGTCTCTACCTGGGGCCTCTACCTGGGGGTCTCTACCTAGGGGTCTCTACCTGGGGGTCTCTACCTGGGGGTCTCTACCTGGGGGTCTCTACCTGGGGGTCTCTACCTGGGGCCTCTACCTGGGGGTCTCTACCTGGGGCCTCTACCTGGGGGTCTCTACCTGGGGGTCTCTACCTGGGGGGTCTCTACCTGGGGGTCTCTACCTGGGGGTCTCTACCTGGGGGTCTCTACCTGGGGGTCTCTACCTGGGGGTCTCTACCTGGGGGTCTCTACCTGGGGGTCTCTACCTGGGGTCTCTACCTGGGGGTCTCTACCTGGGGGTCTCTACCTGGGGGCCTCTACCTGGGGGTCTCTACCTGGGGGTCTCTACCTGGGGTCTCTACCTGGGGTCTCTACCTGGGGTCTCTACCTGGGGGTCTCTACCTGGGGGTCTCTACCTGGGGGGGGTCTCTACCTGGGGGGTCTCTACCTGGGGGTCTCTACCTGGGGGTCTCTACCTGGGGGTCTCTACCTGGGGGTCTCTACCTGGGGGTCTCTACCTGGGGGGGGGTCTCTACCTGGGGGTCTCTACCTGGGGGTCTCTACCTGGGGGTCTCTACCTGGGGGTCTCTACCTGGGGGTCTCTACCTGGGGTCTCTACCTGGGGGTCTCTACCTGGGGGTCTCTACCTGGGGGTCTCTACCTGGGGGTCTCTACCTGGGGGTCTCTACCTGGGGGTCTCTACCTGGGGGGGGGTCTCTACCTGGGGGTCTCTACCTGGGGGTCTCTCTCTACCTGGGGGTCTCTACCTGGGGTCTCTACCTGGGGGTCTCTACCTGGGGGTCTCTACCTGGGGCCTCTACCTGGGGTCTATTACCTGGGGGTCTCTACCTGGGGGTCTCTACCTGGGGCCTCTACCTGGGGGTCTCTACCTGGGGCCTCTACCTGGGGGTCTCTACCTGGGGCCTCTACCTGGGGTCTCTACCTGGGGGTCTCTACCTGGGGGCCTCTACCTGGGGGTCTCTACCTGGGGGTCTCTACCTGGGGGTCTCTACCTGGGGGTCTCTACCTGGGGGTCTCTACCTGGGGGTCTCTACCTGGGGGTCTCTACCTGGGGGTCTCTACCTGGGGGTCTCTACCTGGGGGTCTCTACCTGGGGGTCTCTACCTGGGGGTCTCTACCTGGGGGTCTCTCTACCTGGGGGTCTCTACCTGGGGTCTCTACCTGGGGGTCTCTACCTGGGGGTCTCTACCTGGGGGTCTCTACCTGGGGGTCTCTACCTGGGGGTCTCTACCTGGGGGTCTCTACCTGGGGGTCTCTACCTGGTCTCTACCTGGGGGTCTCTACCTGGGGGTCTCTACCTGGGGGTCTCTACCTGGGGTCTCTACCTGGGGGTCTCTACCTGGGGTCTCTACCTGGGGGTCTCTACCTGGGGGTCTCTACCTGGGGGTCTCTACCTGGGGTCTCTACCTGGGGGTCTCTACCTGGGGGTCTCTACCTGGGGGTCTCTACCTGGGGGGTCTCTACCTGGGGGTCTCTACCTGGGGGTCTCTACCTGGGGGGTCTCTACCTGGGGGTCTCTACCTGGGGGTCTCTACCTGGGGGGTCTCTACCTGGGGGTCTCTACCTGGGGGTCTCTACCTGGGGGTCTCTACCTGGGGGTCTCTACCTGGGGTCTCTACCTAGGGGTCTCTACCTGGGGGTCTCTACCTGGGGGTCTCTACCTGGGGGTCTCTACCTGGGGGGGGGTCTCTACCTGGGGGTCTCTACCTGGGGGGGGTCTCTACCTGGGGGTCTCTACCTGGGGGTCTCTACCTGGGGGTCTCTCTACTCTGGGGTCTCTACCTGGGGGTCTCTACCTGGGGGTCTCTCTACCTGGGGGCTCTCTACTCTACCTGGGGGTCTCTACCTGGGGTCTCTACCTGGGGGTCTCTACCTGGGGGTCTCTACCTGGGGGTCTCTACCTGGGGGTCTCTGGGGGTCTCTACCTGGGGGTCTCTACCTGGGGGTCTCTACCTGGGGGTCTCTACCTGGGGGTCTCTACCTAGGGTCTCTACCTGGGGCCTCTACCTGGGGTATCTACCTGGGGGTCTCTACCTGGGGTCTCTACCTGGGGGCTCTACCTGGGGTCTCTACCTGGGGGTCTCTACCTGGGAGCCTCTACCTGGGGCCTCTACCTGGGGGCCTCTACTTGGGGGTCTCTACCTGGGGTCTCTACCTGGGGGGGGGTCTCTACCTGGGGGTCTCTACCTGGGGGTCTCTACCTGGGGGTCTCTACCTAGGGGTCTCTACCTGGGGTCTCTACCTCCTACCTGGGGGTCTCTACCTGGGGGTCTCTACCTGGGGCCTCTACCTGGGGGTCTCTACCTGGGGCCTCTACCTGGGGGTCTCTACCTGGGGGTCTCTACCTGGGGTCTCTACCTGGGGGTCTCTACCTGGGGGCCTCTACCTGGGGGTCTCTACCTGGGGGTCTCTACTCTACCTGGGGGTCTCTACCTGGGGGTCTCTACCTGGGGGCCTCTACCTGGGGGCCTCTACCTAGGGGCCTCTACCTAGGGGCCTCTACCTAGGGGCCTCTACCTGGGGGCCTCTACCTGGGGGCCTCTACCTGGGGCCTCTACCTGGGGGCCTCTACCTGGGGGCCTCTACCTGGGGGCCTCTACCTGGGGGCCTCTACCTAGGGGCCTCTACCTAGGGGCCTCTACCTGGGGGCCTCTACCTGGGGGCCTCTAGCTAGGACCTGAGAGAAGAGGTCTCTGTCAAACATCTGACTTTTATCAACCGCTGTAGAGAGAGAGAGACTCAAGTCAGGTATCTGCTATGGTTATATATATATATATATATATATATATATATATATATATATATATATATATATATATATATATATATGCGATTTCCAAGTCACACATCTGTCCGAGCCACACAGGTGTGAGTGTGTGTGTGTCTTCACGTGTTGGTACAGATGTTGTGGGGAGACGCAGGTGTTAGGGTGCGCAGATGTTGTTACTGGCCCTCAAGTTAACCTCATTCTTGGTACAGAGTGAGAAACACACACACACACACACACACACACACACACACACACACACACACACACACACACACACACACACACACACACACACACACACACTGATAACTATCACCTCCCCCAGGGTAAACTTAGCACATTACCCCCAGGGGGGGGGGGGGGGAATCGCAACACTGATAGAACCAGGGAAGACTAGTCAGAGAAAGTCTATATCTGGACTCCTTATACAGCAATCCAAGACACGCTGGAACTGTAAGAAGAACTACGGGCTCACCATAGCCCGTGCTACTTGCAACTTTTCGTTCCAGGTAGCGAATCTTAACATAGCTGAAGCTTTAAGCTGACTCTCTCCACCTTTTTGAGACCCAATTATTTAATGCTGCTTCAATTTAATAATAATTTTAAAAAATAATTGTTGGAGGTGAGAATAACATGAAGGATATGATAATTATTAAACTATTATTATTATTATGTATATGTCATGACACTTGTACCGCTAGTATACCTTGCTAGTATACCTTAGTATACCACCCTTATACATCTACGTATAATCATAAATCACTTAATTACTTTAGGGTAAGCATACGTCACTGATATATGTGAATATATATTGCTTTGGCATTAATGAGTATACTGAGAGATGTATACTCACAGTTTACAGAGTATAGTCCAGTATATAGTCCTGGACTATATGTAGATAGTCCTGGGCTATATATAGGTAGTCCTGGGCTATATATAGGTAGTCCTGGGCTATATATAGGTAGTCCTGGACTATATATAGGTAGTCCTGGGCTATATATAGGTAGTCCTGGGCTATATATAGGTAGTCCTGGGCTATATATAGGTAGTCCTGGGCTATATATAGATAGTCCTGGGCTATATATAGATAGTCCTGGGCTATATATAGGTAGTCCTGGGCTATATATAGGTAGTCCTGGGCTATATATAGGTAGTCCTGGGCTATATATAGGTAGTCATGGACGATATATAGATAGTCCTGGGCTATATATAGATAGTCCTGGGCTATATATAGGTAGTCCTGGGCTATATATAGGTAGTCCTGGACTATATATAGGTAGTCCTGGGCTATATATAGGTAGTCCTGGGCTATATATAGGTAGTCCTGGGCTATATATAGGTAGTCCTGGGCTATATATAGGTAGTCCTGGGCTATATATAGATAGTCCTGGGCTATATATAGGTAGTCCTGGGCTATATATAGGTAGTCCTGGGCTATATATAGGTAGTCCTGGGCTATATATAGGTAGTCCTGGGCTATATATAGGTAGTCCTGGGCTATATATAGGTAGTCCTGGACTATATATAGATAGTCCTGGGCTACATATAGGACTGAAATCACTATCGCTAGTGACATGACTCTTTTTTTGACAACGGTACACTGTTGCCAACTGTTGCACGTGACAACGGTACACTGTTGCCCTGGCACGTGACAACGGTACACTGTTGCCAACTGTTGCACGTGACAACGGTACACTGTTGCCACCTGTTGCACGTGACAACGGTACACTGTTGCCAACTGTTGCACGTGACAACGGTACACTGTTGCCACCTGTTACACGTGACAACACTGGTGACAACGGTACACTGTTGCCACCTGTTGCACGTGACAACGGTACACTGTTGCCATGACTGTTGCACGTGACAACGGTACACTGTTGCCAACTGTTGCACGTGACAACGGTACACTGTTGCCACCTGTTGCACGTGACAACGGTACACTGTTGCCACCTGTTGCACGTGACAACGGTACACTGTTGCCACCTGTTGCACGTGACAACGGTACACTGTTGCCAACTGTTGCACGTGACAACGGTACACTGTTGCCACCTGTTGCACGTGACAACGGTACACTGTTGCCACCTGTTACACGTGACAACGGTACACTGTTGCCACCTGTTGCACGTGACAACGGTACACTGTTGCCACCTGTTGCACGTGACAACGGTACACTGTTGCCACCTGTTGCACGTGACAACGGTACACTGTTGCCACCTGTTGCACGTGACAACGGTACACTGTTGCCACCTGTTGCACGTGACAACGGTACACTGTTGCCACCTGTTGCACGTGACAACGGTACACTGTTGCCACCTGTTGCACGTGACAACGGTACACTGTTGCCACCTGTTGCACGTGACAACGGTACACTGTTGCCACCTGTTGCACGTGACAACGGTACACTGTTGCCAACTGTTGCACGTGACAACGGTACACTGTTGCCACCTGTTGCACGTAGCAATTAATTCCTCTTCATTTGAAGGGAAGGGAGGGAACTAAAAGGGGAAAGCGCCAAGCCATTACGACTATATAGCACTGGGAAGGGGTCAGGATATGCGATGGGACGGATGGAAGGGAATAGTGCCCAACCACTTGTGGTAGGGTCGGGGATTGAACGCCGACCTGCATGCAGCCAGACCGTCGCTCTATACCGTCCAGCCCAAGTGGTTGGGTTGAAGGTTTTCGCAAAGTAGTTCCCCCCCCCCCTCACCTGACTCAACTAGGTGGAGAAGCAGCAGAAGATGGCACCCATAACTCAAGACGCTCAGCCATCAAAAAACTCAGACTGATCATTGGACTCACCAGGGTACCTACTAATGCCCGTAGCAGTAATAATAGAGGACGCTAATTACTCTCTCTCTCTCTTTCAACTCATCACTCTGTGTACCCCCATCAATCACAACTAATCCACCACTGAGGCAACAAATTGCCGAGGATTAAACCAATTTTAATTTAGTTGCCGAGGCTTTGGGCGGAATTTAAAGGGAAAATGTCCTGATGTAACAATGTGCCAAGATTACTATAATTATTTTAATTATTATTATTATTATTATTATTATTATTATTATTATTATTATTATTTTATTATTATTATTATTATTATTATTATTTTTATTATTATTATTATTATTTGGATTTCCAATTTTCACTTCGTTTCCGTTGTTAGGAATCTCTCTCTAAGACCGATTATACTAACCTATCCCCAAGATGTAACAACTAGGTGAACAGAGGCAACAGGTGTAAGGAAAGGCGTCTGTAAAACTGTCTGAGGGATCCTCAGCCGGGAATGGAACTCGGGGTCCTTCGGTTGCGACGCGACAACGTAGACCACTGCGCTAGTTTGAAAATAAATGGTCGTGTGAATGGTGGTGTGTTTTCCATAGATTTTTCAGTTAATGTGAACTCACCTAGTTGTGCTTGAGGGGGTGTTGAGCTCTGGCTCTTTGGTCCCGCCTCTCACCCGTCAATCAATTGGTGTAAACAGCTGAAGTACAGTTGTACTGGTGAAGTACTTTTGGTACTTCACACATTATAAGAGTACTTTTGGTACCCCCTATTGGAGTACTTTGGTACTGGCTTTCTGAAGGCTTTGTATTGTAAGACTAGATCACTTTGGACACTTTTCTGTGATTTAACTAACCCCTTTGGGCACTTTTCTGTCTTTAGACAAGCACTTTGGACACTTTCCTATCTTTAGATAATCACTTTGGACACTTTCCTATCTTTTGATAATCACTTTGAGCACTTTCCTATATTTAAACAAGCACTTTGAACACTTTTCTCTCTTTAGACAAGCACTTTGAGCACTTTCCTATCTTTAAACAAGCACTTTGGACACTTCCCTATCTTTAAACAAGCACTTTGAACACTTTCCTCTCTTTAGACAAGCACGTTGGACACTTTCCTCTCTTTAGATAAGCACTTTGGGCACTTTCCTATCTTTAGACAAGCACTTTGGACACTTTCCTCTCTTTAGACAAGCTCTTTGGGCACTTTCCTATCTTTAGACAAGCACTTTGAACACTTTCCTCTCTTTAGACAAGCACTTTAGACACTTCCCTATCTTTAAACAAGCACTTTGAGCACTTTCCTATCTTTAGACAAGCACTTTGAATACTTTCCTCTCTTTAGACAAGCACTTTAGACTCTTCCCTATCTTTAAACAAGCACTTTGAGCACTTTCCTATCTTTAGACAAGCACTTTGAACACTTTCCTCTCTTTAGACAAGCACTTTAGACACTTTCTTCTCTTTAGACAAGCACTTTAGACACTTCCCTATCTTTAGACAAGCACTTTAGACACTTCCCTATCTTTAGACAAGCACTTTAGACACTTCTCTATCCTTAGACAAGCACTTTAGACACTTTCTTCTCTTTAGACAAGCACTTTAGACACTTCCCTATCTTTAGACAAGCACTTTAGACACTTCCCTATCTTTAGACAAGCACTTTAGACACTTCTCTATCCTTAGACATGCACTTTAGACACTTTCCTATCTTAAGACAAGCACTTTGGACACTTTCCTATCTTTAAACAAGCACTTTGAGCACTTTCCTATCTTTAGACAAGCACTTTAGACACTTTCTTCTCTTTAGACAAGCACTTTAGACACTTCCCTATCTTTAGACAAGCACTTTAGACACTTCCCTATCTTTAGACAAGCACTTTAGACACTTCCCTATCTTTAGACAAGCACTTTAGACACTTTCCTATTAACCTAGTCACTCCAAGGACTGAAAGTCGCACGTCACTAGCGTTAGGTTAGGTTAGGTTAGGTTAGGTTAGGTTAGGTTTAGGTTAGGTTTGGTTAGGTTAGGTTAGGTTAGGTTAGGTTAGGTTTGGTTAGGTTAGGTTTGGTTAGGTTAGGTTAGGTTAGGTTAGGTTAGGTTAGGTTAGGTTAGGTTAGGTTAGGTTATGTTAGGTTAGGTTTGGTTAGGTTTGGTTAGGTTAGGTTAGGTTAGGTTAGGTTAGGTTTGGTTAGGTTAGGTTAGGTTAGGTTTGGTTAGGTTAGGTTAGGTTAGGTTAGGTTAGGTTAGGTTAGGTTAGGTTAGGTTAGGTTAGGTTAGGTTAGGTTAGGTTAGGTTAGGTTAGGTTAGGTTAGGTTAGGTTAGGTTAGGTTAGGTTTGGTTAGATTAGGTTAGGTTAGGTTAGGTTAGGTTAGGTTAGGTTTGGTTAGGTTAGGTTAGGTTTGGTTAGGTTAGGTTAGGTTTGGTTAGGTTAGGTTAGGTTAGGTTTGGTTAGGTTATAATTAGTAAATCTTCCATAAATTAATAACTAATTTCTAGACAATGTTGAGTAGTTTAAGGCGGCCCAGATATACCGTCTTAGATGAATGATATATATCAGATATAGCAAGTAGTAGAATGGGAAGTAGATTAGAGTAGAGTAGCAAGCATGCAAGTAGAGTTATAGGCACTTAACCCATATAACAAAGAAATGTGTCTAATGGTTGTTTAAAAAAGGATGACAGGGTTTAGTTGTTTTAATCTCTTGAGCTGGTTCGTGAAGACTTCTTAAGTCAGACTTCCTTAAGTCTTCACTTAGGAGCTCAAGTGGGATTACCTGTCTTGGGTTCGCGAGTGTGTGTGTTCTGTTTAGCTGTGTGTTTTTTTCAAACGAGATATCGTCTGATTAAAATATCTTAATTATCCCAGAGTATATATATACTCTGGGATAAATATACTATATATATATATATATATATATATATATATATATATATATATATATATATATATATATATATATATATATATATAAATATATATATATATGTGTGTGTGTATATCACGAAAATAAACACGTGATTAAGAATGTGACAATGTCAGACCACGGAGGAAAATGAAACAGGAATTTCCTTAAGTACTTTCGTATATTAAATACATCTTCAGAAGGAATAATGGTCAGTCAGTATTTATATAGTGATTGCTTGTAGTTGGTCGTGTGCCCAGCGACAGTAGCAACGTTTATTGATAAGTTAGACATGTTTTAATAAGGCAGAAGGCCTGACATAAGAGAGATTCCTTCTGAAGATGTATTTAATATACGAAAGTACTTAAGGAAATTCCTGTTTCATTTTCCTCCGTGGTCTGACATTGTCATATATATATATATATATATATATATATATATATATATATATATATATATATATATATATATATATATATATATATATATATATATATATATATATATATATATATATATATGTCGTACCTAGTAGCCAGAACGCACTTCTCAGCCTACTATTCAAGGCCCGATTTGCCTAATAAGCCAAGTTTTCATGAATTAATTGTTTTTCGACTACCTAACCTACCTAACATAACCTAACCTAACTTTTTCTGCCACCTAACCTAACCTAACCTATAAAGATAGGTTAGGTTAGGTTAGGTAGGGTTGGTTAGGTTCGGTCATATGTCTACGTTAATTTTAACTCCAATAAAAAAAAATTGACCTCATACATAATGAAATGGGTAGCTTTATCATTTCATAAGAAAAAAATAGAGAAAATATATTAATTCAGGAAAACTTGGCTTATTAGGCAAATCGGGCCTTGCATAGTAGGCTGAGAAGTGCGTTCTGGCTACTAGGTACGACATATATATATATATATATATATATATATATATATATATATATATATATAAGTATATTTTGTTTGCATTCTTTCTTTTAAATATATTTCTTTGAAAAAGACTGAAAGTTTTAGATTTATGATCCTGACACAAATCTTCTCGATATTCCTTATGTTTTTCTTCACTGAAGCAGGAAGTTGAAAACTTAACTCTCCAAACTTCATTTTTACTTTTTATTTGGGTCTGACGCCTAGTGAAGCGTTTCGTAAGGTCTCTCCTCACATTCTTAAAGACAAATTCTACTGTGTTAGCACCGGGTTACATCCTCTTATGGTGGCTGGGTGACATATGGATGAATGACACTACATGGGAGATTTTAATAAGATATTAAATTTATCAACATAGAGTGTGAAGTGTTGGCAGTTCATGATCTGGTTGCTTCCGGTCCTGTTGTAGGGTCATTCGGTCCTGCCTCTGTGTTGGCTCGGGGTCTTGAAGTGGGTAGAGTATAATTGTGTGTTAGCTGGTTATTGATTGCTGGACTAGATTTCTTGATATGCAACGCTTCACTGACAGCTAATCTTCTATTGTCATTGTATCTATCAATTTGACCAGACCACAAATTAGAAGGTGAAGGGACGACGACGTTTCGGTCCGTCCTGGACCATTCTCAAGTCGATTGTTACTTAAGAATGGTCCAGGACGGTCCGAAATGTCGTCGTCCCTTCACCTTCTAGTGTGTGTCTGGTCAACTTACTTTAGCCACGTTATTGTGACTCATCGCCTGCATATCTATCAATTATTTCGGTAGATATGCTCCTTGATGGAGCTCTGTTGTTTGTGCATTGTTA